CGGAAAATTATAGAAAAATTCACCATGTTGAATTGTTTTTATAACACAATCTTTATTGCGAAATCGCGCGATATTTGCATCAAATATAGACGCCAGAACGTAGAGAAAAATGACGTTAAGTCGCAGACTATTCAGTAAATGTTGAAGAAAGACATCATTACAAAGACATACATTTACTGAACATTATAAAATTAAAATGAATGAAATCGGATGAAAATTGAGAAGAACAGACCGGTTTATTGATAAAAAAGACGCAATTTCGCCGCCACCGATAGAGGGCGCTTTGACGTCATAGTAACGCTGTTTTTTTATATAAAATAATGCTGCAGAAGTAAAGCTTACATATCTACATGTCTGTATACCAAAAATCATCAAGATCTGAGATGTTATCATATTTCGGTCGGATAGTAGCGAGCTACCTTAAAAGGTATTTTAAGTTTTAACTATATGTACATAAAGTGAAAATCAATGAACCCCGGGGCAGGGCCGATTTTGACCCCAGGGCTATAATTTGAACAATCTTGGTAAGGGTCTATCAGTCAATGCCTTATGAACTAGAACTGTGTCCAAAGGACACGGATGCCCCCACTGACAACATATATATGGTATATAGTGAAAAAATCAACAAAGGGCCATAATTCTCTTAAATTTGGTCGCAGCAAAAATTCCTTCCTTTACTTGTAACCATCTACACATTAAGGTTGTTCATCCCTGGAAGTTTAAGCAAAATCTGCCATCCGGTTTAAGAGGAGTTGCGTTCACAAAATTTCTATATGGTATACAGTGAAAAAATCAACAAAGGGCCATAATTCTGTTAAATTTAGTCACAGCAAAAATTCCTTCCTTTACTATCATCTACACATTAGGGTTGTTTCATCCCTGGAAGTTTAAGCAAAATCTGCCATCCGGTTTAAGAGGAGTTGCGTTAACAAAAATTTCTATATGGTATATAGTGAAAAAATCAACAAAGGGCCATAATTCTGTTAAATTTGGTCACAGCAAAAATTCCTTCCTTTACTACCATCTACACATTAGGGTTGTTCATCCCTGGAAGTTTAAGCAAAATCTGCCATCCGGTTTAAGAGGAGTTGCGTTCACAAAATTTTTACATGGTATATAGTGAAAAAATCAACAAAGGGCCATAATTCTGTTAAATTTGGTCGCAGCAAAAATTCCTTCCTTTACTACCATCTACACATTAAGGTTGTTCATCCCTGGAAGTTTAAGCAAAATCTGCCATCCGGTTTAAGAGGAGTTGCGTTCACAAGATTTCGGGACGTACGGACAGACGGACGGACGGACGGACGTACAGACGTACGGACGGACAGACGGACGGACAAGTGCAACGCTATATGCTCCCACTCTGTGGGGGCATAAAAATATCTAAGTTCTAGGCCTTTTGGGTCTTTACAAGAGGGTATTTTAAGTTTTTACTATATGTACATATAGTGAAAATCAATAGCCCCCGGGGCGGGGCCGATTTTGACCCCATGGCTATAATTTGAACAATCTTGGTAGAGGTCTGAAAGACAATGCTTTATGCAAAATATCTAAGCTCTAGGCCTTTTGTGTCTTTACAGTCAAGAAGATTTTTAAAATTTATTCCTATAATTCCTTTTGGTTGCCATGGCAATGAAATTCTTTGAACAACTTTGGAAGCTCTTCACTCAAGGATCAATCCTACCAAGTTCGGTTGAAATTGGACAAGTGGTTTTTCACAAGAAGATCTTTTAAGTTCACTATATAATCTATAGAACACACACACACACACACACACACCAACACACACGCACGCACGCACCAACGCACCAACGCACGCACGCACGCACGCACACACGCACACACAAACAACACACACAGGTGAATCGCTTTTTGCCACCGCATCGCAGATGCTGCGGTGGCATAAAAATAGAATATGAAGATTTACAAAGGGCAATAAATTAACAAAGAGCAATAGCGCATTTTTTTTTAAAAAGAAAAGAAAAAAAGAAAGCACTTCTTCTCTCAAAAAAATTATCATCCTTTGAAGCTTAAAGTCTATAGTTTTTATAGTTTACTTATAGCTTTTTAGTTTGGCCTAGAAAAAAAATATAATACCACAATTTACAAAGGACAAGCTTAAGTAACCGTCGTCATCGACAAACGATGTCGACACACACCAACAAAAGTAAACCCTGTACAATGTATGTCGTCATTTTCCAGGCTGCATAAAAATAACTAGAAGTTTAATATGCAAAAACATTTTTGTGAAAAAAAAATACAGGAAAACAAAAGTTCCTGTTTCATAATAATTTCCGGTATTTTTATGTCCTCTGTTTAAGAATATACCAATAAAAATTACAATTATTATAGTTACTTATTTTTTTATGAACAAGAACCTTTGTTTACTATTGAATATCTAAAAATAAATTCACTGTCTGTCCTCATTTCTTCAGCAGAAAAGACAAAGGTAGAATTGGCTACCCTTATCATAATATACATAGATTTCATAAATAGAATAAAAGTGAGAAAACTTGCAAAATTAACATGCTGAAACATTGTATACAGGCGTTTATATTCAATGCCAAAACAAAATGTTATAGTATTTTTCTAAATAACAAAACAAAAGAGTGTAATTTATTGATTTTACACAAATACTGTTTATGTTTAATGTAAACATAGATCTGTGATTATGAAAGTTTTTATATTTTTACTGAAAAAAAGTTTAAGACTCTGCCTTTAAACATCTGGCTTACACACATTTTAGCACGGTGTATACTTGTAAACAATTGAAGATGAATTTACTTTATGTCCACATATAAGTTTTAAAACTTAAACACAATTTTAATTACTTGTAAATGTGCTGTCTTAGTTTATTTTGATGTTTTTCATTTTCACCGATATTATCTTCTTATTTCGGCCAAGGAATGTCTAGCCAATCTTGGTATTCACTGAACTCTGTACATGAACATATTCACATGATGTATGATGTGAACAATTGAAAATGAATTTACTTTCTGTTCACATATAAGTTATAAACGCTTAAACACAATTTTAATTATTTGTAAATTTGTCGTCTTGATTTGTATAGATGTTTTTCATTTTTCCGATATTATCTTCTTATTTCGGCCAAGGAATGTCAAGCCAATCCTGGTATTCACTGAACTTCACATGATATATATTTGTGAACAATTGAATATGAATTTACTTCCTTATAAGATATAACGCTTAAATACAATTTTAATTATTTGTAAATTTGTTGCTCTGGTTTGTATAGATGTTTTCATTTTTCCGATATTATCTTGTTATTTCGACCAAGGAATGTCAAACCAGTCTTGGTATTAACTGTACTTCTATGATGTATACTCTCAGTTTTATTTTCATAAAATATCTTACCATTTCTGGTCCATACAGGTTTGATGTCACCCGTCATTTTTTTAACACAAAGGAAGGCATTTTGGTTAAGACTTGTCAAGTCCTCTAATATAAACAACCTGAAGCCTTTGTAACTTTTCAGGCTATTCATTACTATGTTTTTTGTGAACCTTGATGTAAATTTTACAATGACTTGCCTATTTTATTTGTTTTCTTTGGTCACAGCCTATACGCAATGTCGATATCACTGGATTTTAGTTCAATTTTATTTTTGGGATCACTTCATTTAATTTATTTAACACTATCTCATTTGTTTAATTGGCATTTTCTTTATCATTCTCTTTCAAGCCATTTATTATGATCTTGTTAGACCTGCTATATTGTTCTTAATTGTTGACGAGTTCAATTGTTTTTCTTTCATTTATTTCGATTGAGTTTCGAAGGTTTTGATTTTCTTCTTTCTGGTTTTTAATCGTTTCGTTCAGCTGTACTATATTTTATTTGAATTTGTCATTTTTTTGTTCTTTGTCAAATATTTTGCCTTCTAATATTTCCATTTTTTTCCCAATATATTTCAACAGTTCATTTTTCATTTCCTGTACAATATCTCTAATCATAACTCTTACAGAATCATCATCCTTTGTTATAACATTTGATAATTTTTGATTGATGTAAATAGCTCTTTTTGTAAACCAGATATATCTATATTTTCCTCTTCAATTTCTTTTAGATATTTTCTTCTTTTTCTTTTTGTTAGGTGGAGTATTAATACTAGTGTCTAGTTCATTTGTTCTACTGACCTCCTTAATTCCTCGCTTTTTGATGAGCTTAATTTTGAACGTTTGGTCCATTTCTGCTATATCTTTATGTGCGATCATCATTTAAATCGTGCCTGTGGTCAAGTGTATCTAGTGGTTCATATTAGAAACAGTTTTTCACCTTGATTTTTTATGAAGTTTGTGTATTCACAGATAATATATAAAAATGGTAACGCCCTTTATGATCTCTTTACAAGTGTTTACTGTCTACATAATTTTAAAGTAAGTACATGTTTCTTTATTCTTGTAGAAGTTATATACTTACACTACATACAGTTTCTCAATGCAATGCAATGTTTCATATATCTTTCTAATGAAAATGGGCTTATGTAAAAGTTTTTTCCTCAACACTTCCTGGTTTGCCAACACTCAACTTGTTACTTCAATTTACACCTTTCTATCCACATTTTATAGAGCGTCGATTAAAATAACTTTTGTCGAAAGTTTTTACACACCTGTTGTTCCCTTCTTGTCTATTTTTCAAATAAATTCGGTAAATTTTGCTCCCGTTAATAATAATAAAAATAATAATAATAATAATATCACTTCTACTACGACTACTACTAATAATAATAAAAGTTTTTTTCAAGATAAGACATTAATATGCATTTGAATATTTAGATAATAAAATGATAATAGTAAGGCTGATATTAAAATTAATAATTATAATGATAATAAGATTAAAATGATGAAATTAAGTTAGTATACTCCAAATGCATTACCTCCGCTTTTAAGAGTATTCAAATAGGCTAAAATTACTGTTAACTGCTTTGAAACTGATGGGCGTGGACTCAAACCCCAGAAGGGGCAACTTCTTTTTTCTTTTACCTGTGTTGATCTGAATGATCCTTTGCTTTCTCTTTGAGAGGTAAGCCAACTAACAATTGATGAGCTTGTTTTTATGTCCCGGGATTGCAACATTGCAAGAAGTGCGTATGCTGTTGTTTCTACAGATTGGGCGTTTGCTGGTTTACCTCCCGAGTTTCCCCAGAATGTACCCTCTACAAAATAACATTTTTTTACACAGCTATAACACCATCGAGTCCAATTACTATACAAATTACAAGTAATGATATAATGAAGATAAAGGCTTATTCCTAAAACAGGAAAGACAAACTCTGAAATCCAAATTAAAAGAAAACTAACCCACAAAAAGTGAAATAAATTAACGAGTATTAATTAGCTCATTGCCACAATAAAATAAAAACACACAACAGAAATAAGAAAAGATGATTGGAATAACCTACCCCTATCATTTCTCTTAATGTCATGTAAGTACTTCAAAAACGTATCTGTCTTTTTGCTGTCGGACAAGGTTAAAGCATATGTACTTATTGCCAAAAGGTAAGTATTGTTCTTTAACTTGTCTTCTGGGAGGTCTTCAAGGATCTTAATTGCCCTGTTGACGGTTGCACTTACAAGCTTTAAAAAAAGAAAACAACATCCAAATTTTTTTTCTTCTTGGTTGGTTTTCAGTTGTACGGGAACGCTAAAGGGCTTCCATTTAGTGCGATCATGGTGTGTAAGACGACTGAGTATTGTTCGATTTGATCAGACGTTTTAACACAAATAAGTTCATTTTTTTGTCATTCTTAATCACTTTTCTCAAAATGCTTTAAGTTTTTGGATAGGCGAAGTTTCGCCATACGACTGAGTGGTTTGATATTTATAAAGGATATAGCCTAGACACAACTTGAAGCATATAGAAAAAAGGTTTGGAAAAATAAACCTTTTTTTTAATCTTTGTGAATACAATAAATTGATTTGCGTTAAAATGTCTAATTATCGGTCGACTTACACATCATGATCTCACTTTTTGGAAACCCTTTTATGTTTCCGTACAGTTGATTTATTCTCGAATTCTAACCACACAGTTACATAACAATGTTAACTTAATTTTTGCAAAGACACTGTGTATCAATTACAGTGTAACTACATGTATAAGAAAATCCAGAAGCTTCTGAAATCCGAACATTTTTAAGGGTTCCAAAATTTCTCCTTTTGTTTTCTATGTAATCAAAACCTCTGAATAACGGAACTTCTAAATTCTGAATTCCGAACGATTTTCTCGTGAAATTTGCGTTAAATTAATTAAAATTTACTTCAAAAATCCGGAAATTAAAAAAGGGTGTGAAGGAATTTTATACTTGTAATTGAAAAACCTTCAAATTGTCAGTATCTTCCAATTAACAGTACCAATTTATCTGGACACCTATTAGAATTACAACCTGTCAAGCATATCAAACACTTGTTTAAAGTTTGTCAAATAAGAAAAATAATGTGATGAAATGAAAAAAATACAGGTAAATAGCAGGTATTTCATTTATATGAAATACACTAAAGGATAAATTGTGATAATTAACATTTTGCTATTGTATCAGCAAATTCAGTTATAGGTGATAACGAAATTTAAAATAGTAAAAGTCCTACAATTTTGCTATTTTATTTATTTAATCAGCTTCATATAATTTTCATCATGTTTTACTATAAAACCGTTGATGTATCATAATTTTACTTATTCAGATAATTCCGAACTTCTGAATTCCGGAAACTTTCAAATTCCGAACTTTTTGGCTAGTCCCACACTGTATCAATATTTTAATATAAAAGTTTAGCATAATATATCTTTATAAATCATTCTTTAATCTATTTGTTTATTTCTTAGAGTAATTTAATTGAAAACTACTTTTAAATAATTAAATAAAACAAGTCTACATGAATAGCATCTATAAAAATTATAGAAACAAACTTAACACTTACAGCAGATATATTACCACATTCTTGTAACGTAATCAGTACAAAGGCTGTTAAGGTAGGATCTCTTTGTTTGATCTCGACTTGTCCCTGTTTAGGATAAATAACTATGAACTAGCTATTATTTCCTTCTCATAAACAATAAACATAATTATATAGCTTTCATTTTCATCTTATCAACAGTTACTGTAAACATATTTTTTCATGTTCATTTTATAAACTATAAATATAGCTTTTATTTTCATTTATAAACTATAAACAAAGCTTTCATTACCATCGCAATAACAATACACATAGCTTGCATTTTCATTTTATGAACTATAAACATAGTTTTGTTTTTAATCTCAGATACATTCAACAAAGCTTTCATTTTAATTCAATAAACAATGAACAAAGCTTTCATTTCAATTTTAAGAACTATAAACATAGCTTTCAGTTTAATCCCAGAAGCGATCAACAGAGCTTTCATTTCATAAGCAATAAACATTGCTTTCATTTTATTTTATAAACTATAAAATTAATATAGCTTTCATTTTCGACACAGCAAATATAAACATAGCTATCATTTCCATTTGACAAACAATAGACATAGCTTTCATTTCAATAATTATGGACTACATGTGAAAACATAGATTTAGTTTTCATCTCAAATTCATTAAAAATGCTTTCTTGTCATTAAATAAACAATTAACATAGCTTTCATTTTCATCTTATTCTTATTAGAAGTAATACATGTCAGAAAGTCAACTACCTTTTTTGGTCATGCTTCAATATTTAGAATATATCAATATTCTGATATAGAACTTTATATACAATCTGTTGAATAATAAACACGCCAATTGTGTGCACATTGCTGTTGTTATTTATTCTAATTTATGTACAGTTTGTATTAAAGTATGAAACTTTATTAAAATAAATAATCAAATCTTGATCAGATAGCCTCGTTATCAGATTGAAAATAAAATAATTTAGTGTCTTCAAACTGGACAGAATTTTATCCTGAGCTAATATCTATAGAATGTAAATGTTTGATCTTACTATCATTTCCCGGTGTATAACTGGCATTTTATCAACAAATGAACCATCAGCTTCAGCATGATTATTCAGCCAATCAATTGTAAGTTTTATATCATCCTCTTGATCAACAGCATCATTTACAACCTTCTTAGCTTGACAGAACACCTTGGCAACAAATGCTGTGAGCCTATTACATAGTATAAAGAGGATGTTGCATGAGTGTTAGTTCAATACTGAATTAATTGAACGAGTTGAATAATTCTTTATTCAACGAGTTCAATAAATCTATTAATGAACTTACTTAAATATAATATCATTTTTATGACAAACTCAAAACAAGACGGTTTGAAGTGGAAAAATTATTTTAAAAATCATAACGCTTATATATAGCGCGTCTTAACACTGGGTTTGCATAACACAAATGACGTCATGTCAAAATATGCCATCGCCATGCAATACCATTTTTACGGAGTTGAAAAAATAAAACACGGGTATATGAATAAATATATAAATACTGTCTATGTAGTAACTGTCACAAGAAATTTTCACAATCTGATCTACTCGGCTATTATGCTTCGCAATATAAACCTCTGACATAGTAAGGCGACATATTCGTACTACTTAGTAACATGATTCCGCCATTTTTTTTGTTTACGTTATGATGTGAGTTTTAAATTTTTTTAAATTTACACATAAATTTTTTGTCTTTAAAAATGTGGACTCGGATCGGTATTCAGAAGTTCAGGAAAGTGAGTAATTATAGTAATTACAATATTTTATAATCAACAGTCTCACCAAGTGCTAGGGGTTCGGTATCGCCAGGTAGCATATGATCCGTCGGCTTGCTTGAATTGGGAAACCTCTCTGTTTTACACCTGTAAAAACAATTTCACCATTACAATAGTGTGCTTTTCTTGCAAAATCAAGGAAAAACATAATGAGAAAATAAAACATGAACTTGGAAGAAATGATGAAGTAAAAGCTTCTTCCGGAAAACCTATCAGATTTTAAATGACATGTTATGCTCTCATATGACCATACTTGAAATTATAAGACCATATTTGAAATCATGTTTATCAAAACATCAATCGTACACACTTAATACTGTAAATAGATACCATCTCTAATCCATTGACTTCCCTTTGTTTCTATGTCAGCGGTCAGTTGTTTTGTTTGTTTTAAGTAGGTCATGGCGTATACAGTTGGTGCCAGCCTTATCATCGTCTGCTCACCGCATCCGGCAGGTTGTGAAAACAAAGAATCCACGCCCTCTATGATCGTATTGACAATATTAGTCATCACACTACCTGTTGATTAAAAAATAGACATCAACGTTTAAATCCTACCGGATACAATAAGTATAACATTTGTGTTGCCAGTTCTTTGGTCAACATCATCTGTAGTGACGATTATGCCTTTCCTTACATCCGGTATTAAGTCAGGCCGGTATGAACACACACGCGGAGGAATTAACATAACATTCATGTACGCTCAAAGTGTTATGATATTAAATAAGGCGGCCAAGATGACCCTAAATAACTCACCTGACAAATAGAACTCATCCGAGCAATTTCTTAGAAAAGCATCCTGAACAAATTTGGTGACAATTGAGTAAAAAATGTGACCTCTAGAGTGTTAACAAGGTTTTTCTATATTTGAGCAGTGTGACCTAAATTTCGATCCCAGGTAACCAATATTCGAACTTAACCTAGAAATCATCAAAACACACTTTCAGACCAATTTCCAGGGTAATTGGATAACAACAATAGCCACTAGAGTGTGAACAAGATTTTCTATTTTTACATCTTGTGACCAAGTTTTTCATCAGAGATAACCATGTTCGAACTTCTACAAGCAATTAACTAGATAAGCATCCTGACCAAGCTTGATAATAATTGAATAAAAAATGTGACCATTAAAGTGTTAACAAGGATTTTCTATATTTGGGCAGTGTGAAAATGACCCAAGGTAACCCATATTCGAACTTGACCAAGAAATCATCAAAACAAACTCTCAGACTAATATCCAGGATATTTGGATCAAAACAGTAGTCACTACAATGTTAAAAAAATTCTATTATTTACTATAAGTGGACTAACCTTTCTTACATTAAATACAGGTCTATAATTCAACACTTATATCTACAAATTAATAATTTGGCAAAAATATCATGACGAAATATTTTTTAAAAACTACGTCATCAAACTAGTGTATTGCCGACACCGAAATGGGAATAGGAAATGAGAACTATAATCATTGATTGACACAAACAATTGTTTATTTAACGCCATTATTTCGTGTATTTTATTTTGTTAAAATTAAAAATTTCCTTCTCTGACTTTGTAGAAAATGCACCACTCAAGAAGACGTTTTTCATTAAATACTTATTTCATTTCAATCGCCTTGATTTGCAAGGCAGTCAAATCTTAGAGGTTTTCAGTTCTACCGCAGATTTGAATATTTTTCGACTTCTCTTTTTACTTTCTAAGACTTTATCTTACCTTACCCTTACCTTACCGCACCTCACCTGACATCACATTACATTACAGAACCTTAACTTATGATAAAATGAATTAACGTTAAGTGCGTACTTTGGATATAAGCAGTTGCTGCCCCTGTCTGTGAAATACTAGATTTTGGAAGCGTTAGATCTACTTCGTACTGTCTTACGTCCTTGCTTGTTTGAACTGAAGTAATCAAAAAGACAAGTGGCTTGATGATATAGTTTTGCATACATAGAGAGAAATTCGTAAAATTTAGCGGAAAATAAATATAATGAAAGACAAACGTATTATTAATTTACTTAATATAACATTATGCCCTCCCAAGATCTTGAGTAAATTTTAGATGATATTAAAATAACTTAACATTTTGTCATATTTGTTTATCAGTTTTAATTTATAATAAACGTCAGCTGAGTAATCAAAAACATAAATTATAAATATCTATCGGAATTTATCGATAATATTCAATAAATAAAAAGAGTGAGGGCAATTTATTATGGTTTATGTATTTTTTTTATGTTTCATTCTAAGCATTTTGTTATTATCAATAATTGTTCAATCACCATTAAATAATTCAAGTTTTTGAAATATACAACTAATTAATCCCAGTTTAAGTGGAAAACAGTTTGATATCACTTTACTAAATTTGTATGTTTCCTGGTCGTTATAAAAGAGTAATTCTTATAGATAAGTTGATGATATGTTTCCTAATTATTATGAAAGAAAAATCGTTCAGATGTGTCACACAATAGATAGAGGTGATTCTGACAGATTTCCCGGAAGCAAACAAAACAAATTAATGTTGTAAGTGAATATCTGTCTTAGACACTAGGTTTGAAAATAAAATAAATGCACTGGCATCAACACCGTAGGGAACGTGTTACAGTATCGCGTTTTTCGGCTACAGTATAGAATTTTCAAGATGGAGAATTATTTGTTGGGAAGAGAGGTAGGTGATTTTAATTCCGGTCCATACTACAAGTAGTTAAGTTTCTAAAAGATGTTTTTTGTGCTTTGCTTGTAAGGAACAGAATCCGGTATCTAGTCATATATTTCTCCAGACCCTGCACCGCAGGTTTACCGCTATATTGTCTCATAAATATGCAGATTTGACAGTTTTAAAATTTGAATCGAGAGACCAACGCATTTGTCTCCAATTTTGTCATTATTTATGCATGCCTAGAAAAAGCAAATCTGCAAAACGTTAGCCCTTTATGTTAGGAAACGTTTATAAAAGTAAATGACCAGTTGAACCTATTTTCCTGTTGGTAAAATGCGTTTGAAAAAATAAACAATGTTACAGTATAGAGCGAGGTAATTTTGCAGGGTTACAGCATAGACCTAGGGATTTGTATCCGATTTTGTTACAGTTTATACCCAGATTTCGGTTACAGTTTAGACTTCGATATTTTCTATATAATTATACTAGGTAAAATGTATGAATGTTACATAGACTTTTAAATCTCTGGGAGCTTATTGGCCCTATGGCTATTCGTCCGTCTGTCGAACACATGCTTGTGCAATCTCATCCGCTTAGTAAACTACTTGACTAAATGTGATGAAATTTACATGACTTTCTACCAATTAAGTTGTTCAAATGGTTTCGGTTGCAATCGGGGATATGAAAAACTAAAACATATATTTTCAAAAAAGGCAATGTTAAAAGACCCTTCTCATCTCGAACCAAAAGCATTCAAATCAAATCATGATCATGGCGTCATTTCGAATGCTTCTTTGTTGAAGTTACGATTATTTTGTCATTGTTAAATAAAAAGTCGTTTTTCTATATTTCAGACATCCTGTATAACAGTTTTCATGTTTCTGAAAAAGAAAATAATATAATTATAGAGTATAAATTAAGGTCAGACAATTACAATATCTTCTCTAGTGAGCCTGATGGAGGTACATAATAGTGGCAGAGTCGGCATAAGGCCGTCGACTTCAAATCATCCCCCATTTACTGCTGTAGTTGAAATCCAATCATGACTTTGTGAGGAATCTATCAAGCTAATTTACGGAAGGTCGGTGGTTCTAGTCAGGCGCTCGTGTCTAAAATGTTTCACATAGGGTATCTGGGGTATTTCTTTACACTAAAGCAGGAATGTTTTCACATGACCTCGGTGTCGTTGAAACTTAAAATACAAGAAAGCCAAACGTAACAAAATAGAGTTAAACAGAATCGCTAAAGAAATTCCAACACAACAAAATTGAAAATGTTCATAAACCCTTTTAAATACTTACAAAATACATAATGGTAGATGGAAATTCCAACTTAAAATAAAACTTCAGGTTGCAGTATTGCTCACTTGCCTGCTTGTTTATTGTGTCTTTTGACAGCCTATCTATTGTATGCAGGCTTCATAATCCCCGATCCCCTCTCAAAATTTCATTTTGTTTACTTTCACTCATTGTATTCTTGTTTGGGGCACACACGAGTTTAAACCTGAGGGGGATATGCCGCTTTTCATAGAATGACAATAACGTGTCACATTGAAGGTTCCATGATAACCGCCATATGAACACATCCACAGGTGTTAAAAAGTCTGAAGTGTACCAGTTCATGTTTAATGTGAATTCTGCTGAAGCCGGTGCTAGGAGGCGTGAACGGTAGCTCGCAGTTACCACTACCGTCCATGAACAGGTTTAGTCAAACTGAGCCTGCAACATTTTCATGTTTTCCGTGTTGGACTTCTGTTAAGGATTACTTTTTTCTCTATATTTTATTACTAATAGGCATTATTATAATGTGTAATGAAATCAAGCAATAATCTTTCTTCTCTCATTACAATTCGATAAAAATTACTGTTGTTGTCGTGAAAACAGTCCTTACTTAGGACATTACTTATTCTGCAAAAAGTCTCAGTCTGAAACTGTAAGTAAGAAAAATAGCAAACTATTACTTTTCTGCTGAAGAAAAAAAGTAATACAACCTTTCAAGAATGCATTAGATAGAAAGGTATGAGTTATTTCATAAAATAATGGATACACGAACTTTGTTTGAAATTTGGCAAGTATCTAAACTGTAACAGAAATCGGGTATAAACTGTAACAAAATTGGATCAAAGTCGCTAGGTCTATGCTGTAACCCTTCAAAATTAACCTCGCTCTATACTGTAACATTGTTTATTTTTTAAAATGCATTTTACCAACAGGAAATTAGGTTCAACTGGTCATTTACTTTTATAAACGTCTCTAAACATAAAGGACTAACGTTTTGTAGATATACTTTATCTAGGCATGCTTAAATAATGTCGGAATGGGAGAAAAATGAGGTGGTTTCTCGATTCAAATTATTAAACCGTCAAATCTGCACATTTATGAGACAATATAGAGATAAATCTGCGGTGCAGGGTCTGAAGAAATATATGACTAGATACCGGATTCTGTTCCTTACAAGCAAGGCACAAAAGTATCTTTTAGAAACTACGCTACTACTAGTAGTATGGACCTGAATAAAAATCACCTACCTCTCTTCCCATAAATAATCCTCCATCTTGAAAATTCTATACTGTAACCGAAAAACGCGATACTGTAACACCTTCCCTACGGTGATCAAATTGTAAAATTATATGTTAAGACGCCACGCTACCAATTTCTAAAAAGGGGAATTAAGCTTAGAACAAAATGACAATCTCTCACGCAGTGATTTCCCCTTACAGGATTAGCGGTGCGCTGAGTTTGACAAAATGACTTAATTCATGAAATGAGAGGGTTAAAGGAAAGATAAATTTGTTGACATTTTATTAGTACAGTTACCATTAACTTACTGTCTTCAACTACACGAACATCATTTCTACAATCTTCTTTCTGTTTCATCGGATCTAAACACACAACAATTGTTATTTTATCTTCTATACCCTCATTCTGAAATACAAAACAAAAAAGGGGTGTAAAGATTTTTTTTTAAATTTCTGTGAGGACTTCTTATACTTATTTCTCAGAATAGAAACATATTTTTACCTTCAAGTCGACTAGTTGTTTACAAGAAAGCCCACAAAATACAGTTCAATTGGGAGAATTATGACGTATTATTCTTATCATACTTGGATGATAAACGAATGCGACAGTTAAACTTTAATGGAAATCATAGTTTTGAAAAATATTTCTTGTTTTTTTAAAGTCCATTTTAAATCGCATGACTGGTTCCTGTTTTTACCTTTATTATTAACAAATACATAATGATTTGATATGCAATTAGGTAAAGTCAATAAAAAGGACGTCAGCAAAAAAAATGTACATTCATTTTTGTGTCGCCTCTACGGAGTAGTGGCGACATATAGGGATCACTTCTCCGTCGTCTGTCCGTCTGTCTGTCTGTCTGTCTGTCCGTCTGTCCGTCACAAAACTTCTCCGGACTACCCCCCATAAACTACTGGTGCAATTTCATCCAAACTTTACAGGAATGATCAGTACCAAGTCTAGTTGTGCATATTGTCAGCATTTTCCGGTTCAATGATTTTTGGCAGAGTTATGGCCCTTTTATAATTTTTTATTTTAAAGTTTGTCCGGACTACTTCTCTTATACCACTAATGCAATTTCAATGAAACTTTACAGGATTGATCTGTAGCTCAAGTCCTTGCGCATATTGCAAGGGTTTTCCAGTTGAATGATTTTTGGCCGAGTTATGGCCCTTTCATAAAAAGGTGATTTTTTCTGTGTGTTGCCAGATACACAAAAGCTTGCCCGGACTACTCCTCATAAACTACTGATGCAATTTCATCTAAACTTTACAGGAATGATCAGTACCAAGTCTAGTTGTGCATATTATCAGCATTTTCTGGTTCAATGATTTTTGTCAGAGTTATGGCCCTTAATTAATTTTTATTTTCAAAGTTTGTCCCGACTACTTCTCTTATACCACTTAAACAATTTCAATGAAACTTTATAGGATTGATCTTTAGCTCAAGTCCTTGCGCATATTGCACGGGTTTTCCAGTTAAATGATTTTTGGCCGAGTTATGGCCCTTTGATAAAAAGGTGTTTTTTCTGTGTGTTGCCAGATACGTTAAAGCTTGTCCAGACTACTCCTCATAAACTACTGGTGCAATTTTATCCAATCTTTACAGGAATGATCAGTACCAAGTCTAGTTGTGCACTGTCCGTCTGTCTGTCCGTCTGTCACAAACTTTGTCCCAACATGAAATTGGCCATCATGAGGCGACACATGTGATTACTGATCGCTCTTGTATAATATTTTTATGTTATTTGTGTCAGTTAGTATGTAAATGCACCTTTCCATTCTCAATCGGAACACACCAGCGATTGCTTCAGAAGAGTTGTTATTATTCCGTTGCCGGAATACCTCGCAGATTATCATTGAGTTTACTTAAATAGCAGCGATCATAAACAACAAATGTCACTGACAAACTTAACCGCTGGGTATCTATGAGTAGTTTAATGTATTTTCATTTTAAATTCTTTAAATATACACGTGTATTCTAAAGACGGACAAGCCAAAGCCTTTGACTTACCCGCATTAAATTTTCTAAAATTGCATAATCTCTTTAACTCTATTAAATGTTTGTCAACAACACTTACTACAACGAATAGTTTCTTTTCAATGATGTCAACATCAGGTATTCCTACTTCCGTAATAGCGGCGACCACTTTTACCGGAAACAGACCGTTCTTTAAAGGTATCATGGGAAAGGTTACTGTTTCTGCGCTATTCGGCGGAAGTTCAACTTTGACTCGAGGTGATGGTTCTCCTGGATCGCTGTTATAACACAAATATGGAACTCCTTGCAGGTAAACATTGACCTGAAATGATACACTACTTTTATAAATTAAACGCAAATTTTCTATTCTTTAATGCACATATTAGTATGTGAAACTCGTGATTTAAACCGGAATCTAAATTATCTCAGTTTAATACAAGTAATAGACCAGATATATTTTTACCTTTACCCGTGGAAGTGTGTAATTGATCTCGCAGCTTCGAATTTTGGATCATTCAATGTTAATTAGATTTCAAAAGCAAAATTAAAAAACAAAAGAACTTCAAACAGCTTTTAGCATGGCCTGTAAGCATAATTGGCAGACTTAACAGGTTAAGATTACTCCCATCGGTTCAAGTAAAACATTAAAACAGCTTAGAAATAAATATCATATCCCTTGAAACCATGCTGTAATGTCACTTTATATTAGATAAATATCGTTTAATATCGTTGAAGTCATCAAATATCGCATTTTCTATAGTATTACGTAAATTTCCGATTGTGTTTACGTTTTATTTTTCAAACCACATATTATTATTAGCATCTCTTTTGAATTGTATCCACCTCATGTTCTCCAAATTCCGTAATAACCAAAAACAGACATTGTCACCGGAAACTGGCCGTTCCTAAGAGGAACAAAAGGAAAAGTTATTTTGTGGGAGCTCATTTTCGACTGGAGCTGATAGATTCCCTTGGTAGCTGATATAGCACAAATTCGGAACTCCTTGCAGGTAAATATTTGCTTAAATTGAGACACTTGCTTTGTTAAATATTTGCTATTTCTAAAATGATGCTCTTTGCAATTACCATATAATGACTTTATGTATATCTAGAAATAACCAAAGTATAATTAATAAATAAATGAATAAATAAATAAATCAATAAATACATAAATAAATAAATAAATAAATAAATAAATAAATAATTAAATAAATAAATCACAGGAACGTTTTAAAAATTCACCCAAAAATAATGGTCCTTAGAAAAAGTCAGTTTTCTTAATAATGATTTAAAACAAGCAATTTTACTTTGAAATTCAATAAAAATAAGGGCAGCATTTTCGAAAAATACGCCCGCAGGGACCTAATTTTGCACGCGACACTCCGCCTCGCAATGGTGAACATTTGTGACAAGTTATATTGAAGTCCGTCCTTTTAGGGTTTGATCAGGACAAGCGTTTTCCAATGACCTCTATGTGTGACATTGACCTTAAACTAAGAGACATGGTTCATGCACATGAAACTGATAATGGTGAACATTTCTATGAAATTTCAATAGAATCCCTCCATATGTGTAGGATATATGCTCTGGACAATGTTTCTATATTTTATCACATTTAGTGATCTTGACCTTGCATATATTTATCTTAATTAAACGTTTCACACACGTAGTCATGATTATAAGCATCAGTGGTTCAATCGCTCAATAAATGATGACTTAACGGTTCAAATACATATTTAAATATTTTTATCTGAATTTGACCCCTATATGTGAAACCGACCTTGACCGTAGTGATCTTCATTTTGTACGCTACTCCACCACACAATTTTGAACATTTGTGCCAAGTGATATTGAAATCCATATAAGCATGTAGTAGTTTTGCTCCATACAAATGTTTTTCAATGACCTCTACGTGTGACACTTGACCTAGAGACTTATTTCGTGTGCGCGACACAGCTTGTTAAAATGGTAAACATTTCCCTGAAGTTCAATTAGAATCCCTCCATATATGTGAAGAAAATATGCCCTGGACAAAGTCGCTGTATTTTATCACATTTTGTGACTTTAACCTTGTATATATTAACCTCAATTATATGTTTCACAACCGAAGTCATGATTATAACCATTAGTGTTTCAATACCTCAATAAATGATTACTAAATGGTTCAAATACATATCTTCATATTTTATCTGCAATATGACCCCAATTTGTAAATCTGACCTTGACTGCAGTGATAAACATTTTATACGCAAAACTCCATCAAACAATTTTGAACATTTGTGCCAAGTAATATTGAAATCCATCTAAGCATGTAGACGTTTTGCTCCGGACAAGCGTTTTTTAATGACCTCTCCGTGTGAACTTGACCTTTGACGTAGATTCTTGGTTTATGTGCGTGACACATCATATTATAGTGTTAACATTTCTCTGAAGTTTAAAAAGAATTTCTCCATATGTGTAGGAAATATGCTCTGGACAATGTATCTATATTTTATCATCTTTAGTGACCTTGATCTTGCATATATTAATCTAAATGTCATGTTTCACACCCGTAGTCATGATAATGAAAATTTATGTTTCCATCCCTTAATAAATAATGACTAAATGGTCCGAATACAAATTTTAATATTTTTATCTGAACTTGACCTGATCTTCAGCAGAGGGACCTTAATTTTACACACAACACTCCCCCTCACAATGGTGGATATATGTGCTAAAGTATATTGAAATACCTCTATGTATGTAGAAGTTTGGCTCCTGACAAGCGTTTTTCAATGACCTTTATGTCTTTGACCTTTGACGTAAAACCTGTGGTAAACATTTCTATGTTTAAGTTTCATTTAAATTCCCGAATGCGTGTAGCAGATATGCTCCGGACAAAAATTGGACGCCGCCCTCCCAGCCGCACGTCTGCTTGCCCGCCCAGCCGCCCTCGCGTCCGCCAACCAGGGGGTACACAATTAAAAATATCAGCGACTCCGTTTCAAAAGTCATTTGTGCACATTTCGATCCAAAGTAGTTTACATTTTACGTATGGATCTATGATATTTATATTTTTCTTAATTATATTTCATATAATATTCGTCTTGGAATATAATTTTGTTTTCACAATTGTGGACAATTGTATTTGTGTATTTGAGAAATAAAGAATTGAAACAATCAGCAATGAGTCATCTATATTTAACTATGGCAAATGCCTACATGTTTCCCAAAGTAAATACATACAAATGTGATATGAATGTTTGTATATTGATGTTGACATCATAACATAAAAAGAGCGATACATTGGACACATATAACCGGCTAAAATTGCGTGTTCAAATGTGTTGGTGTCTAAGCACTTAAACTTTGATTTTTTCTAGGTTTCACTAATTTCCTTTTATTTTATTCCCTCAAAGTTTTCGCCCTAGACATGGTTACAAAGTTCCAGTCTCCAAATCTCATTTATAGCCGTTTAAGGTTTCTTATGAAGATACTGGGAAATTGTGGAACAGAGATGTTTGCACTTAACAGTATGTCGATCAGAAAGGTATTTGTTTAGCACTGGAAAAAGTCACAAGGGGAAATGTCAAGTGAATATTGAAAATGGGGATCACAATGACTTTTTCTGCTTCCGAAATTCTTGCACTATGTACTATGTACATGTACGTCTTGTGTGATGACAAATTTCCAAAATTATTGAAAACATTTTGTTTAATAGTCGAAGAACGTTTATTTTGTAAACTTTCGCATTAACAACAAATTTGCATTAAGGAACAACAGCCTAAATTGCGAGACCCTGCGTTGTATAGAAATGGCATTCATTACCTTTGTTAAATGGATGGTCCTTTTTGCAATGCATGGCATTTTGGGTATCTTGCATCGATATCAACTAACATTTCATTTAAGCAACTATACTGACATATGTTACTGTTTTACACAGGCGAGCATGGGCTGCATCTTCAGACATTTAAATTTATTTAGATAACAGATAATTGATGAAACAAAAAGAATTTTATCATGCAGAACATATTTCTTCCAAAATGGCTTTACACCTTATGCCAAGAAGGCAATAGTTTCCTAGTATTTCAAAGGCACACTCTGTTTTTGTACCACCAATTTAACGGTATACAAGTGAAATGTAAAGTGGATATAAACACAGCTAATGCCGGATTATAATATAAACGGGAATGTAACGTTCTAGTTGCAACTCTTCGTATCCGTTGCAAATAATAATGACTGGCACTCTGCCTTATTCACGCATACGAAAGACAGCTTGGCGCGAAAATAAGTTCAAATTTAGAGAAATTATTGCCATAAAATCAATTTCATTTTAATTTAAATGACAATGTAATTCAATTGGTTTAACTTGCATTTATTTCAAGCGGTCATTGCCAAAATCATTTTACCTTTGAAACATTGGAACAACATAATTTTATAAAGAAATTTAAAATCGTCAATTTATTGCAGCAGTTTAATGTTATGCAAAGTGTTCATGCAATTAAATGATTCTAACACATATTGAAAGAATAGAGATGAACAAACTAATAATGATGAAGATGCCGAGGAAAATAATTCTGTTTACAAAACAACTTCCAATTATCTGTGAGAAATATATTGAATTCAATATAACACAATGAGTGTATCACAACATATTCTCGGTCTCGTCAGGCTGTAATGAGTGAAAGGTCTTCTAGCTGAGCTAACTTTTACGTAATAAACATTGAAATTTGCTCTGTTTTAACGGTTGATGGCAACAGAAAGCCTTTCAAGCTATACCTATTTAAAGGATACATTTTAATATAAGCCACCAAAACATCCGTACCTATTCCGTTTATTTGAATGAATACATATGCTTAAAAATGTGCTATATAAACATCCTTTGTAAATCACTTCATTGGTGATATAAACAATTGGATAGATATAAAAAAACAACATTTTAAGTATTCAGTTTCAACTACTTAATGCAAGTGACGAAAACGTAATGAAGTAATTCCATGTTATCAAAACGTGATCATTTCGTTTATTCATTCGGATACTACTGACTGTCTTAGAGAATAATGGGAATTCCATAATTTGGCTTTAATCAGGTGTTACAGCAGAATGTTTGACAATTTTAAAAATTTTTGTTATGTATTTTTGAAAAATCGTATACTTCATTAATTGTTAAGGTAGACCATTGGCAATGGGCACTATAATGACAACAAAGGACAGTAATATGTCTTCAAGGTCACCTGTCACAATTTAAATAAAATTTACCGTGTGGTTTATGAGTTATGATATATTTCTGAACCAAGACTTTGTCATTACAAGGGCTTTTTTCAGAAATGGGGAAACTCTAAAAAATCTGTCTTGAGGTAAGATGAGGTAAAATGACCGCCATTATTTGAAAAAAAACCGTATAGAAATAGGCTTGAAAATCAAACAAACAAACAAACAAAATAATTGCATTTGGTTTTAAATAAAAATAAGAAGGCTAGTTTTTAAAATACCTTTTTACAATTAATACCAATACATATATAAAATTAACTTCCATGGAGTGTCAAACAACTGTAAAAGATTTCTTTCAATGCACTTTTCTAACTTTATTTTACATTAAAAACTTTATAAAAGTATGATCTCTATTTACATTAGTTTAGAAATAAATAATTTTCTGTTAAAGCATACAATACTCATGACGTATAATTGCGCTATTGCATATTTATATCAATCATATTGTAACAAAAAGCTAGTAGAGCTAACGCTGTAATTGCTCAGCGGATATATTGTCTTCCTATCTTAACGATTTTAGTGTCAAAGAAGCAAACTATAAATTGCATGATGTAACATTAAATTCTACTTTAAAGTAGCTATTGCATGCTGCATCGTCATTAAATACAAAATCATACTAACCACTTTATTGTCATCACCTGGCATACCGTAATTAAATATTGTTGCTTTCACATTAAAATGTTCCAAACGAGATGCTTTGTACGGAAGATCAAGCTGGATGAAAAAATCTCTGAAAGCCTTTACATCGAGTGGGTCAGCAATACACATACCTTCATCTTTCGTAATACCTGCAAAAAGATTTTAAAAGGGGTGATTTTTTCAAATTCAACGAAAACAAAGAAAAAAGTTGACAATTGTAGACTTAGAGATAGTGTGATGTACATCTCTTGCGTAAGCAGCACTGATCGACTAATCGAAAGTATTTGAATAACCGATCCCGAATTTAGACAAATATAAATCAATGAGATGTAGAAAGGAGCAATTTATCTCACTCAACGGCTGACAAAACACTCTATATTTGCAGTTTTGAGTTGTAAATTCTGGAAATGGGATATCCCTGTGAGCAAAGTCTTAGACGGGTTATAAATTGTAAATTTAAACAAAATGAAAAAAAGACACTAAGTCCCCTTGAATTCTCGACATCTAGACCCATTGACTCTTAAACTTTTCAACCCCTAGTGGGTAAGACGCTTCGACCGCTATATCAATTTCAGTACGTTAGAAGGCGAAATAATTTACAGCGAATAACAATGTTTCACATTATTTTCATTACAATATCTGACAAAATATTCAAAATGTAAAACAAGATAAAACATTATTTCATTTAATGTTTAGTGTAGCAGTTAAAATATACTTGTGTTTATTTTGTATAACATAAGGGTCCCAGGGCCCTTGCTTGGTCACTTAGGCACAAGCGTATGCCTGTTTTTAGAGTTTGTAAAGACAAACATTTTAGTTTCAATTGAAGTGGCTAAATGGTGATCTCAGTTTTACAAATGTTTCCCCAAGATCTTATCGGGTTTCAATTCGGCACTAGGTTTTGTTGGATAAATCGGATATATAGTATAAATGTATATAATTTATATGTTTATATATATAATATATTATATATATATATATATATATATATATATATATATAAGGATATATATTTCGAGAAATTTCTTTTAAAAATATCTGGTTTGAAGCGTCAAAAAGGTCGAAAAAATGAATGTCACACTATTTTGTGGCCAATGTGTAAAACTGTAAGCGAAAAATAACGGTAATATGTAAATGAACATTTTTTTTAAAATTTATACGACGACTTGAGATTACACTGTTAGTTGAAAACAGTGACAAAGATATCTAAAAGATAAATCTGTTAAAAGGAAAAGAACATGGAACCCTAAAGATTAACAAAAACATGGCCACAAAACAAGGTTTTCAATTATCATCATTGTTTGTCATTGCAAACTACATACAAGCAACGGACGACAGGCAAATGGGTGTCACAAAAGCTCACCTTGTCACTCTGTGCGGGCCCTTTTTCATCCTAGGGCATTATTTGATCAATCTTTGTAAATGTTACATACCAAATATCACGGCTTTACCGCCTGTGAATTATGACAAGAAGATTTTTCAAAATTTCCCTATACAACTTTAAATTAAACGAAAGAGTCCCCTTGCAGGGCATCTTTTGACCCTAGGGTCATTATTTAAACAATCTTTGTAGATGTCCACTAGATGATGTTACATACCAAATATCAAAGCTGTAGGCCTTGTAGGTTTTTGACAGAAAATGTCCCCTATACATGTATAACTTTTTATAAGATTCAAGATTCAAGATTTCAAGATTTTATTTCAAAAGGCATAAACATTTTACAATGTCCGTCGCCATAAACAGAATGACGGTTACAAATAGTATATGAGAAAAGTATGTAACTGTATACAAATAATTTTTATAAAACTGATGAGCCTCGTGGCAGGGCCCCTTTTGATCCTAGGAGCATAAATTTAACAATACTTTGTATTACATACTAAATTTCCAGGCTCCACGTCTTGTAGATTTTGACAAAAAGAATTTTAAGGTTTTTCTGTATAACTTTATATGACACTAAGGAGCCTTGGCAGGGCCCCTTTCAAAAATAAGATCATAATCTGAACAGTCTTTGTAGAGGACCACTAGATGATGTTGCATACCAAATATCAAAGCTCAAGGCCTTGTGGGTTTTGTCAAGAGAAATAATTTTTAATAATCTTTTTTTTTATTTCTATAAAACCCAATCTTTATAGAGGACCACTAGATCATGTTACATACAAAATATCAAGGTTCTACCGCTTGTGAATTTTGACAAGATGTTGCCTATGTAACTTTACCTAAAACCGATAATTATAGTGCACCAATAGATAACGTTATGTCTTACTCTTACTTTCAATAAACAAGAGGGCCATGATGGCCCTGAGTCGCTCAGCAGAAACAACTGCTTTTCAGTATTGAAAATTATTTTTCAAAAGAACTTGCTAAAAGGCAAGTCCAGATCTTTCGGAAAGTCCAGCTCAATTTTAACTTGCCCCTATAGTAATATACTTTTACAACACTGATTGTTTTAGCTTTTATTCTTCATAATAAACAATAAGGCCACTAAGATGGCCCTAGATCACTCATCTAACCCATCATTTCATTATTCATATTTTGCCTTAATATTAAGGAAAGGCTTTGTTAAAAAAATGTATGTTGCAAGTGTGTTCCTTTGAGACTTTGTAGAATGAATGCAGAATAAATGACCACTGGAGCATGATTAATTTTAACCGGACAATTTTTTTATAACTTTTGAATGAAAACACAAAATGTCACATGCAAAACATGTAAGGTGTAGATGTTTGAAGTTTACAGTTAGGGACGGCACATTTTTTTATACATTCTGTATGGTAACATAACTGTATCTCAAAAAAAGACAATAGGTCAAACATTGTAAAAGATATGAAAAGTAGGCCAGTTGATATCAAAATTCAATTCAGCATCAGAAATTACACCCCTAGTCCAAATTTCAAGTCTGTATGTAAAAAAACCCACACGAATGAAGCTCAAATCATATCAAAAGTAGGTCAGTTGATATCAAAATTCATTTCGGCATCAGAATTTAAAAACCTGGTCCAAATTTAAAATCTGAATGACAAAATACAAAAAAGTAGGTCAAATGGTGTTAATAATACCTAAAATATGTCAGCTGGTATCAAAGTTGAATTCAACATTCAAAAATTACACAAAAATTAACCCTGGTCCAAAATTTCAAGTCTGTACATAAAAAGACAAAAAAAATAGGTAAAGCGATATCAATATACCAAAAGTAGGCCAGTTCATATCAAAATTCAATTCAGGATCAGAAATTAAAACCCCTTGTCCAAATTTTCCAGCAGGTACATCAAAAACGACAAACTATGTCAAACAATTTTAAATAATATAATCAAATAGTCCGTTGATACCTTAATTCAATTTGCATCAGAAATTACATTCCTGGTCCAAATTTCAAGTCTCTGTACATCATTCCAAATTTCAAGTCCTCTGTACATCAAAAAACAGAAAAGCATGTGCAATGGTTTCAAAATAATAAAAATCAGCTCAACTAATGCCAAAATTCAATGATGCACATGAAACTCAGGTTCAACAGTTTGTCCCAAAATATATTGCAATGTGCTTACTCCAGTTTAAAATCCAATTCAACAAAAATTAAAAAAAAAATACAATTTATAACAAAATTCAATAAAAAAATGAGCATACAATCTCTAGAGCTGAAAGATATTTACACATTAAGACTTTCTCCAAAATTCTGGAAACAAAGTGATCCCTCGGAAGCATTAATCACAACAAAATTACATAAGAATTGCATACTCGGTTTGATTGAGTCTGTACATGAGAGATAAGGTTATTTTTCATATTTTCATTTATAAGAGTTTAAACAACTTTCAACTGGTTTAAAATCGTTTATTACTATTTTTTTGGATTTTCCCAATTTTTGGTTTTAATTACAAACGTTTATATTTAAAGTACATTTTGTTCAACCCTTTGTTTTAGGTTTTTAAAGTAACTTTAAGTTTAAGTGTCAAATAAAAATTAGTTCAATTTAAAAAATTTTGGTTGATTTAAATTTATTCAATTTTTGTTGTTTTATTTCCCTTTGCTTTCAAAGGAGTTGGTGTCATCATGACGATTAGATTTTTTCCCTATGAAAGGGTTTTCCTGGGCAAATAAGAAGAACATTTTGAAAAAGTAAAATATTTAGTTTATAAGGTAACTAAATTTAATTAACATGAAAAACATAAAGGCTTTAATAATTTTCTAACCACCAAACAAATCGTTAGTTCTGTTAAGGTTTAATTTCTATTTTTAGCTTTTAAGCCCCCCCCCAAAAGGGACCCAAATCAAATAAATATGAGTAAATTGATAAAAGGGACTACCTAAGAATGCTACGACCAAAGTTTTGGTGATCATCCAATCCCAATTTAGTTTGTAGAGAAAGACGGTCCTAAAGGGATTTTCTATTTTTGCCTAGAGACCCCTAAAAGGGGCCAATTCAAATTAATCTACGAGCACACTTGATAAAGGAAACTATCCAGAATGCTAAAGATAAAGTTTTGGTGATCATCCTTCTTTTCGGTTCCTGGGTAGTAGAAATGTTTTTTAAAGATTTTTCTATTTATTAGCCTCTGTTGACCCCCTAAAAGGGGGGCCAAAATTGAAATGACATTGAAGCAAATTTTAAGTGTGACTGTCGCAAGGATGCTACAGACCAAATTATTAAGGTAAAAATTTCTGCCAGGCAGTTTACAGAGGAAGAAGACGATTGTTGACGCATTTGGACGACCGGACGCTGGGAGTATCCCCCCTTTGATACTAATAGCATCACCATGAGCCCTTCGGCTCTGGTTTGAAGCCCTAAAATCAATTATGTTGTTGCATTTTAAGCGAGCGTTATTTAATAACGGAGATAGTTTAATACCAGGAGGATAAAAACACAATGAGAAAATACAAATGTATAAAGCAATATAACGTTTAAAAAAACTGCCAATACTGTGTCCAAATTATTTGATAAAATAAAATCCTTTAAATAAACAAAACTAAAGCAAGTTCGATCATATAATTTTCCGTCTCAGGAAATACTGACCTGCCCTGCCGTTAAAATAATGATGAACAAGAATCAACACAAGGAAAAGGCAGCGATTAAAATGAAAGCAACCCCACTACGAAGCCAAACAAGAACCAGCAGCAAAGATCCAAGGCGGGACCCCAAACAAACGGCAAGGGGTTCAT